CTCATTTTTATGAATCCTTTCCACTAAAAACACTTAAAGGGACATATATTAGGATGTGGAGCTTAACAACTCATAAAAGCTTCAAGCTTGGGACCAAAAACCCTAAAATGGACCCAAAACAAAAACTAGCACAATAATAAGCAAGTTCAAAACTTGATGCCTCTGGAGGATGCACCAACAAGAGAAGAACATAGATCCAAAAGCTAGGTGCTCAAGCCATTCTCTTTCAAAGCTCCTTCTTCTTCAAAAGCCAAACACAACAAGTCATCACCCCATTAGATCCATATGAGAAAACCACCAAGATTTAAACTTTATGCTTTCTGGAGCTAGATCAACATGATTAGGGCTTGGATCCACAAGCTCCAAGCCAAGCAATGCTTCCTCAAGCAACTCCTTCTTCCACAATATGCACCAAAAACTCACTAAATCACCAAAATGCTCAAGAATCACTCAAATGGAGGCTTAGGGTCGATTTCTAGGGTTTAGAGGGATGGAGGCTGAAGGTATTAGGGTTAGGTTATGAGTTAAGGACCTTAAATAGGGTCCAAGACCCTAAAATAGCGTTCAGGTCTGATTGGCGTACGCCCAACGTTCATATGGTACGCCCAGCGTACTCTGAATTATGCCCAACATACTCGGCTAAGCCTGAAACCATAAAACTTCTGAAGGCCATAACTTCTTCGTTATAAGTCTGTTTCCGACGATCCTTATATCCACGGAAAGATAACGAGAAGCCCTACACTTCTATCAACTTTATTCCTCTTGAATCCCACTCGAACTCAGATCCAAAATTCATGAAAAGCCCGAACCAACGCCTTAACAATACATTCGGGTTCTAAAGCACAAACCGACTCTTTTATCACACAACCTACCTCACCCACATCCCAAAAAGGGAATAACCTTTCTCTTTTAATGCCTCAAAACCTTCTCATACTCTAATTAAGGCCCACAGGCCTTAAATCACAAAATAATCCAAAACAGGGTGTTACACTCACTTAGAGGATCAATTGAGATATGGTTCTTAATCATTAAGACCTATCATAAAACATAATAAAGGAACTCTCCCTTCTTCTTAGAATAGAGAAACTTTTATCTTTCTGCCTACTTGATTCTTCTTTATTCGTTATGCTATTTATTGAAACTCTTTCAATCAAGTGAGAATTACACTTAATCTCATAAGTATAATCATATTTACTTAACCTTAGTAAATCATGCTGAATATCTTTGTTACTCTTGTGGTGGACTTGATCAACACACAACCTTGTGTACTCGATCTCCTAGTCCTTCACATGACACTTTGTCAACGAATTAGTCTAATTTCCAAATATGAAATTTCTCATTCATCATGCAACCAAGTTGTATGATTCCAAGTTTCTGTCCAATTGAAAGTTGGGCGATGAGAAACTTTCCCTATTTGGTAAATTATTGACCTTTCCACAAATAACATAATTAAGAGTCAAATCCATTATTGATAATAATATAAACTTACAAACATCAAATTTTCATACACGCCATTGCAAGGATAAATAAATAATATAAAATCAAAATTTATTTTATTGCGGAAATATTAGTCCTTACAATGCAATTCAACTGAAAAACTATGTTGTTAAATATTCCTAAGCAATCTATTCTAACTCCAAGTAGTAGCTTAAGAATCTATTCTTCAAGCAATGCGATCGAAATCCATTTCTTCACGATTAGATTCAGCTCACTTCTTCCCTTAAGCTTCCTTTCGTTTCTTCGATCCTACAAAACATCAAAATGTAATCTTATCACATCATATATCAAGAATCTAGAATAGGAACTTAAAAGAGTTAGTTAATGGATTTTACCTAAAGTAGAGCCATATGTTTTGACTCTCCCATCTCTTAGATCTCTTAGGTAAATAGGGCAGCTTCGTCTCCAATGCCCCTTCTCTTGGCAATAAAAGCAAGTGGACTCTTTTGGAATGGCACAAGGAACTATATCAGAATTTACCTTTTATGGATCTCTAATGTCACCACTTTCAATATCCACTGAAGTTTGGGAGTTTGATTTACAAGACAAATTTGCTCGACCAGCTCGCCAAATCATTGCTAATTCAGCAGCTATAAGCATATAGGTCAAATCAATGAGGGTCACGTCATGATCCGTCATATAGTACTCTCTAACGAACTCACTATATGATTCAGGAAGCGACTGAAGAACCCAGTCAATAGCCAACTTACCTGAAATCTCGACACCCAACATCCTTAACCTATCAATGTGTGACTTTATCTCTAAGACGTGTACACACACATGTTTTCCATGTTTACTTGCCAAAAGGGCTTGAGTGAGCTTGAACTTTTCAAGCCTTCGAACTTGTGGGTTAGGGGAATAATTGGAGGAGGTGGAGGAAGTGAAGCATGATCTCTTGTTTCTCGATCATATCGTGGAACATCATCTTCATTTAGAAAGCTTGTTCCATGGGATTTGGGAAGACCATAGTTGTCATACTTTGACATCTACAAAACGGGAGAAAATTCAAGTTAAGGTGATTAGAATCCTCGATGTGACACCCAAATGAAACATCGAGGCTAGGATCCAACAAAATACTCTACAACCTAGAAGAGGGATGCCGTAATCCAGTTGTAGAATATTTGAAGGTAGGTAAATGACGATTTACCAATTTTCACCATGAAAAACGAAAAAGAAATTTAAGTTTTAAATTTATTGAGACTTCCTAGATCTTTTGAGATTCATTGAACTTTTCAATGACATGTTTAAATCTCGATATGCCCCTCGATTTGTGACTGGGATACCGAGGATCACAAAACAGGGTGTGAATAACCATGCAAACTTACATGGTGCCCCCAATGTTACAGTCACCTATTCGATGTACCGGTTAACCGCACACGCTCCACCGAACTATGACAAACAATGAGTCACCCTTTGCTACCTTTGCTTAGAATCATTTAGTGTGCCGGTTAACCACACACGCTTCACTAACGACTTTGAAAGGGAACAATGTGTAGTTTCATGGAATTGCATCAATTCAATTTTGCCTAAAGTAACTAAGATTGAGAATTTTGTAAAAGCATTCAATTACTTTTGTACTTCATTATACTTATAATGGAAGGTTTCTGTCCTATCCTACCCGTTCGGCTAACGACCTTCCACTAGTCAAGAGTGCGGTGGGTAAGAGTGGATACCCATTCAATCGCCATTTTATAGGCAATTTCCTTAAACACCCCTTATAGACTAGCTTCGTGAATGAGGCCTACTAACGGTAAGACTGATTGTTTACTCATACATATATAATACTAGACTTTTAATGTTATATATAGTATAGGGTGTATTTTACACTTTTAAAATACTAGGTGGTCTAATTTAAAAAATTATACTTTTAATTTAACTAAATGTGAACCAAAACTTTATGGATTTATTAAATCTGTTTTAATTATACACCTTAATTAATTAATAAAACCATAAGGGTGTGATTTGAACTTTTCAAAACAATAGTAGGGTTTTAGAATTTAACATTTCTAAATTAAACTTTTAATCAACTTTTAAATTCCAAAACTTGAGGGCAAGTTTTGAAACATTTCAAAACATTAGGGTTTAACTTATTTAAATTTCAAAAACCAAACTTTTAAATTCAAATTTAAACTATAAAACCTAAAGGGATTAATTTGAAACTTTTCCAAATTTTATCAAGAATATTCTAGATCACAAAATTCAAATAAGGCAATAAACAATTAATTGGTGGTTATCTTATCTGACCTAGTCCAAATTCTTGCAAAATAATTCACCAAATAATTCAAATAATTAAATCTAATCATATAAGGAAATTATCATTCAATCAAATGGTAATTATCTTTTGTTTGGTCAAAGATATACTCAAATATATATCAAAATTTGAATATTAATGACCCAAAACAATTAAGGCAAGTATCCTCAAGCAAAACAGCAAGAAATCCCGAAATCTGCCCTAACTGACGCTCGAACTCGCCGAGTTCCACTATGAACTCGCCGAGTTGAAGCTACTCGCCGAGTCCTCTATGGAACTCGCCGAGTTCATCAGCCAGGGGCACAAAAAAACGATTTTTAAAGCTTGAACAAATGAACAAGGCATCAATAAAATAGAAACCAATCAAGGTTGTGATACCACTGATGGGTTTTAGCCATTAGAACATCCTATGTGCTCATGCAAACCCTAATGTTTGGATCTAGGTTTCTCTATTGTACATGCAATTCATCCAAGACTTTAAACCCTAAATCTAGCATACAATTAATCATATTAACATAAGATTGGGGTTTAGATCTTAACTTGAATGTTATGTAGCAATAACAATCTCAAATCCTCCTTTGTAATGGCTTTAGAAAGCTTAGAGTCACAAGTGTCACTCCTATAATGGCTCACAAACACCAAGAGCAAGAGGATGAAGAATGATAAGAGAGGAGGCACCCAAAAAACATGTAGAAACCCTAAGGAATCAGTTGGCCATGTTTTTGGTGCCCTAAGGATCCTTAAATAGTGAGACTATTAGGGTTATCTAACAAGGAAACCCTAATTTGACTGCTTAGGCCCTAAGCAACCCATGGACTCCCTCCTTAGAGGCCTTGTGCGATTTCTAATTGGTTCCCCATAGAATTCGTCCACTCCATCCTTTATGGAGTCCATTAGCCCAATATTCAACTATCACACAATTGACAGTTCTAGTCCCCTTTATTTAATTAATATCTTTTAGCCACAAAATTAATTCTTATTAATTCTTGACTAATATTAATTAAACAATATGATTTCTCCTTTAATATATTATTCTCATAATATATTAACAAATCATAATTAATCCTCTCTCTCCATAATTCATCCTATCAAGTTGCTTTGGTGAAGGCAACCCAAAAGGACCATGCACAATCGGGTCAAGTACATACCAAAATAGTTATGGACTTAGACACTAATCCAACACTTCCGTTGGTACATGACACACCAATTATCTTTTATGATTCTGCCCAACTTCATCTTGAGGAGACCACGACTATTCTTCTTCAGGCTTCAGAATAAGCATTTTCCTTAGAACATATGTTATTTCTACATCCATCTTCGTAATCTCATGAATGTAACAAACAAGCATCCACTTCGGATAAGCTACGATTGGCTCGTACTTCTGTTCATCTTTAGACACAATTAAGAACAAGGAAAACCAATCGAAATGATTCATGCAAGGCAGGTCAGCAAGTGTAAATTCATCTTCAAAACGACTAGCTCCTCGGAATCCTTTGAACTTGACGTTTATGAAGTTTTCAGTCGCAATAGATGCATACACCTTTATAGCAACAATCTTCTTTAAGCTCCAGGTCAAGAATTGAGGCTTTCTATACTTAACATAGAAAGAGAAGAGCATGTGATTAACATCATAGTCCGAGAGTGGAGCTTTCTCAATCTTCTCAAAGCATCATAACAGAAAAGCTTTAGGAGTAACCGGAAAATCAAACCGAGAATCTACAGTGTTATTCATATCAAATGATACCGAAGGCTCCAACCACAAAATGCTCGGATCATGAATTGCTTCCTTATGAATTCTTTCCATTGGTCACAGAGGAAATACCATCTTTTGTGTTTCAATAGTGACTTTCTCAAGCTTTTCACCTTTAGAGAGTTCTTCTTCTTTACAAAGATGCAACGGATTATCAAGTTCCCTGTCACGCTTCTTTCTCACAAGCTTTTCACCTTCAGAGAGTTATTATTATTCATCGTCATCATCAAGAACTTTTTTTTCCTTTTCCTGATGCAAAAGCTTCATTACCCTTTTGAACATCAATCTTCAGTTTTTCTTCATGTTGATCAATAATATTTTGCTTTGCTTGAGGTTCTTCTTTATGGATTTCGTCTTTATCGGCCTTGTCTCCCCCTTGTTTCGGAAGAGAATCGCTACCCAAAACTTCCCACACTAACCATATACACAATAAGAACCAAAGTAGAAATTAAGGTAATAATCCACACTCGAAGGTCTTGGCTCATAATCGCTCTTCTTAGGGTAAAAGACCATTTTACCCTTCAAATAGTAGAACCATCCCATTTTACTAGATATCCAAAATGACCAAAAATCACACTTCTTGTGCTATGCCATGCGTACTCATGCTCTACGCCCTGCATAGAGCCTTGAAAGGAAAAACGGGGCAAATTCAGGATATACCTTACGTAGCTAGGGTTACGCCCAACATAATGCCCTACTTTATCAACTTCTTATCAAGTTCTTAATGCGATAAGCCAACCTTCTAAATCTCATATTTGGACTTAATAAATGTCCTAAGTGATCCAAAACGTATACTCAATACATACATTGCATGTCATGGGGTGAATGATCTTAATAAGGGTTTTTCATTTGAAATGGTTCATTAATAGAAAACCTTGATTATCGAAATGTTCATTTAAATTTGTAACGTCCAGTTCCCGGTACGTATTTTATGTTATGAAATTTTACATTTTTTACACTGGGATCGACGAGTTGGAGACCCCAACTTGTCGAGTAGATGCGAATCTTGGATGCGGGTGGAAGAGTCTACTCACCGAGTCGAAAGCCCCGACTCGACGAGTAGATATGTTTGGATGAAACCCTAAATCTTAGGGTTTTCACCCTATTTAAACAATTTATATGTCATCCACTCCAGCGTCCATCACCCTCAGACCCTATTATCACAACCCTAATTAGTTTGTGAGTGTTCTTGAACTTTTGTGCCATTTTATGTGTTTTTGAAGCTTGAGAAGAAAGAGGAAGCTTCGGAGATCAAGAAGAAACAAGTAGATACAAAGATTTTGTCACATTCCCAACTTATTTGCGGTACAAAGTTTGTACCTTATTCATTCATTCATTAGATCTCTCTATGGGGTAGTTTAGGGCCATTTGGAGCTCATTATGAAGCCATTCATGGATGAAAGCTTGTTTTGGTGTTAGGACTTTGGATCCAGAGTCTTAGAGGGACTCCATCGCATAAAGGTGCCAACTTTATGGCCATGGGAGTCCCATGCATCTTATGGAACACTTTTTAGGACTTTATGAGCTAGTTAACCCATGCATGCACGTAAAGTTTGTAACTTTATGTGCTATATCGATCCTAGGAGGTCATATATATGTTCTGGATGCATTAAGACCAACTGAAATTGACTGGATAGATTTGGACCTTGGGGCACTCGATGAGTCGTTAATAGAACTCGATGAGTCGGGTCATGGTTCCCCAAACTTTTCTATTTTTGAGCAATCTGGTTGAGTCTAGAAGGGGACTAAACAAGATGGACGTGAATATGGACTTAAAGATCAAAGAACTCGACGAGTTCAAGGAAATGTCCCAACCGGATACTACCAAACATATATGGGTGCTGACCTCCCCTTCGATCTTATCAACCAGATACTGCTGAACATATCTGGGTGCTGGCCTCCCCTTCGGTTTTACCAACTAGATATTGTTGAGCATATCTGGGTGCTGGCCTCCCCTTCGGTTTTATCAACCGGATACGCGATCTATTTCACCCCTTACCACTACCACATAATATCACAGCATACCATCACATAAATCATAACATATAGTGGCATACCAGACAATTATCACATAGAAAATCATCTAACTATAAACAACTACTAGTGGGTCGGCCTTGGTGCCTTCTACCCACTTTTACCAAGAAGGTAACTTACCTCGATCACACGGAAATAGCTGAACAATCTTTGGATCCAAAATCAACCTAACTCAATCCCTAAACATAGAAGATTTCCTTAAGTACCCTCTCATGCTCATAACCCCTTAAGGGTCAAGTTTGATCAAAATCAAAGTCAAAGTCAGCACCTAGGTCAAAGTCAAAGTTAACACATAGGTCAAATTCAAAGTCAACACTCTGAGTTGACCTAACTCGTCGAGTTACTATTCAACTCGTTGGGTTTCCGTAACTCACAGAATCGTGATATCTCGATCCAACTCATCGAGTTCCTCCTTTTTCAACAGAATCGAGACAATGCCAAACCAACTCGTAGAGTCCCCTTATGGACTCGTCGAGTTTATCAGCCTGCTAGCTCACTTAATGCATTAAGTCACTAATCTTCGAATCAAGGCTCTATCTTTCCAGATCTAAGCTGAAAACACAGTTAGGAGGGTAAAGTTTCCAACTTTACGTATTGAGAACCACTCTAAAGGTATTAAACCCAAAGCCTAGCGTAAAAGGCTTAATTATGTCTTAACCAAATAATCCCAATGTCTTCAAGACAGAGTCCATAAACACAGCTCTGGACTTTAAGGGCTAATAGGACACATCAAGTTCCCAAATTTACTCACATGCATGACCTAATGGAGCTTAAAAGGCCAAAGCAAAGGCCTAGAAGGTGCATGCAACTCATAGGGCCATAAAGTTGGCACCTTATGCCATGCAAGTTACTTGAAACCCTAGATCTAAAGCGTTAGCTCATAAGGGACGTTCAATGTAACACCGTGAATTTTCAAACAAAATTTTCATTTTAAAATCACATAATTCTCATATCACATTTCACAAAAATCGCATTTATTTAATTTACAAAACTCAACTCCATAATTGTTTGATTAATAATCCAGGATCCTCAAAACATAACTCTTTCTCTAGTGTGTACAATCAAGTTGGTGCCTTCTAGCGATCCTAAGAAGAACTTGAAACACATATCACATAACACGGTAAGAACGAAGCTCATCGAGTTTACCAAATTACCACACGTATCTCATTAGCCTTTCATGGATATACTCAGATAAGACCCTCCGGTCAATGTGTCTCAGTGGGACCCTCCGGTTCCACAAGTCGGGTGGACCCTTCGGTCCTAACTCAGTAAGCTCAGAATAATACACAACATAAATCACAAAGACATAATGAAGGATATTAAAATACTTAATATAAGCACATAAGACCCTCCAGTCACACAAAGGTTACCACTGTAGGTGAAGTATAATGAGAAGTCTCACCTCGGATGATGAACAACTCCTATAGATGCTGTTGTTGCACTGGCCTCTAACACTGGACCAAAATCCACAATTACCCAATTAAAATCTAAGTAGAAATCGTCACTCTTTATGTTTAAAGGTAGTCCACTAACTAGCCCATCAATAACCTAAAACTCATTAGGCCCACCAAGGCCGAATAATGAATGGGCTCTCTTGAGGCCCAACTCTCAAGTCCAAGTGATAAGCCCAACACAAGGGCCCAAGGCATATATATAATATTTCTCTACTCAAAGTCTCTAGTACACAAGCCCAAAGATCCAGGCCCAATCCTAAAGGCCCACTATAATATTTAGCCCAAAAAGGCTCACAACGAGGTTACGTGGGGCGTACCCCCTTGGTATGCTCAGCGTACACAAGCATGCACGAAATCTGATCGGGGACACCAACCCAATAGGCAGGGCGTACTAGGATTACACTCGACGTACATCCAGTATGGCTTTTCTCACTTTCTTGGTCTTAACCCGTTAAGACCTTAACTCATATCATAGATCTGGACTCCCTAGAGGCTCTTACTCCATAAAGTATGTCACTTTAAGCCTTTTCATGGCTGGTAAAGTCACAAACACCCAAAACTCTCATTTCTCATCTCAAAATGCACATATCTCATGCATGGGTTGATTCAAACGTCCAAGTCTCGATTTTTATAACTCCACGCCACTAAAGACACCCAAAGAAGCTGATAATAAACTCTGGAGCTCAATATCTCATAAACTCTCCAACTTTGGGACTAAAACCCTAAAATACACTAGAATGATGCACAAATCAAAAGAGTGAGAAAGCTTTGAGCTTTATAACTCAACATGAAGCTTCTAACTCAGATAAGCTCAGATCCAAAGCCTGGAATCCCACTACTTCTTCTTCAAGGCTCCTTCTTCACTCCAAAGAAACACAAAATACTCAATAGCTCACAAATGAACACACGAACTCAATGGATGAGTATTTAGGGTTTGATAGGGTTGATTGTATAAGGATGGTGGCCATGAATGAGGCCATCTTATTCGTTATATAGGGATATCCCCCTCATTTAGGGTTTTCATTCTAAGCCTATAGCGACAACAAATTTAGACCCTGTCCCGACAACATGTCATCGACATACCCTGTACCGACGACATGTCGTCGGCACAAGCATGTCAGCATAGGTCTATTTCGTCATCGGCGTAGATGTCATCGGCATAGTTCCACCTATTGCGACGACATGTTGTCGGTACAACTTTTGTCAACCATATTTTTGGGAAAAATAGATAAAGTTTTATTAAAAACTTGTGGCGACGACTCGTCGTCAGGACACCTATATTGATGAGTTGTCGTCACGAAAGGTCTAAGCTATTATGATAACAAGTCGTCGCTATAGGGTTTTCAACAGTTGTTGGTTATGGACCTATAGCAACGACTTGTCGTCGGGATAGCTACCGGTTGTTTTTTTTAGCTTTATAGGTTTTGTACATTACCATTCCTTCATTTTTAACAAATCCAAAAAACATTGCAACATATATCAATTGAAATACATTAACTAGGTACCATTGTTCAAATTCAAAACATCAAATTCAAGTTTAATATTACAATAAGTAGTTAATTAACATTGTTCATAATACTAAAAAAACATCAACCATCATTGTAATAATCATATTCTCCTTCTTCTTCTTCTCCTTCTTCTACTCCTCCTCCTCCTTCTTCTTCTCCTTCTTCTTCCATCATTTCGGCAAATTGCTGAGAGGTAGTTGCTTGTGTGTTATAGTTGAATAAAAGAAAGTTAGGAAATGGTGGTGGTTGGAAGTTTGGAATACATGTTGCCAATGACGAATTATAGTGTTGCAAATATTCTTGCATTTGTTGTGCATCAAATTGGGATTGAGATTGGGACAATCTGGAAGTGGAAGGTCGTTCATTTGGAATTAAACCGAAATTGGCGGTTGGTCTCCTACCACCGCGCGAGCATGTCTGCGTCTCGTCCCAAGGGCACGTTCTAAACATTCTTCCTTGTTTACTTCTCCACCTTCCCCAATCTAGTTTTGCATTTTCTCATATTCCTCTTGAATTTTCTCATAAAATAAAGAAAACAATTAACATACATTAACTAAAACAAAGAAATAAACTTAAACATTAAAATAATAATAATAATCCATAAACAATAAACTATAATTAATA